ATTATATTTATCTGTTTAAATAAATACAAGGTTTTTTTTTTCTTAATAAATTTCTACAGTTACCTTTGAATAAGTACATCAATGGATAAAAATGCATTGTCTTAAAAGGTTTTCCTCTTGTCATTTCTTTTATATATATATATTTATATATATATATATATATATATATATATATATATATATATATATTATATTCTGTGTATTTAGGCAGCAAATGACAACAGACATTATTTGTAGATTAATTTTACTGATTAACTTTTCCAAATTATGAATGATCCTTCTCAGACAAGAAGGAAATTCTGTCAGAAATTGTCCAAAATTAATTTCAGAAAGCTCCGATTATATTTCTTCTGAAATGACTCTCAGACAATTTCTGACAGAATTTCCTCTTTGTCTGAGAAGAATCATTTGTAATTTGGAAAAGTTGATCAGTAAAATTAATCAACACAAAATGTCTGTAATGATATATATATATATATATATATATATATATATAGATAGATAGATAGATAGATAGATAGATAGATAGATAGATAAATATAGTACTATTAGCTATTTCTTTAAAAGGAAACATTTAGCATTCATTGACTCAGGGGCCAGTACTGTTTTCAGTTGAAATTTATAAAATGCTTCTCTTAAAACACTTTTTTTTAAGAAAACAGGTTTCTCAAGTCTAGTAGCTTTCATCGCACTTTCCAGTACTTTCTGAACTTTTTATTTGAAGTGGTGTAGAATGTCAACATCCTGATTTTGTCATTATTTTCTCTTTGAGCTACATGTGCTATCCATTTTAGTTGTTTCTGCTGTTGAAAGTCCTCAAGCAATGTGGTTTCTCTTATTTGGTACAGTTCTTTATTTGTGAATCTGTATTGCCAGTTCACAATATCCAAAGTTTGCCAAGATCCTTAGGCTTTATTCACTCAAAGTCTTTTTTCACAACTGATCTTAGGAAGCAGTTATGTACAGCTGAGAGTTTAGATATTTTCTGAATGGGTTTGGTGCCAAACATGACATCCCTATGAAAGTCTCGATCTGATAAGGCTATTTTAGAACATGACTTGATTTTTCCAGTTGATGTTTTAGTTTTGCTGCAATTTGCAGTTCTGGGTGAAACTACCACAAATGTGTCCTATTCTATGTTCAATTATTTTCTCTCCGAAACTTAATTTATTATAACTGATCCATATGTCGAGGTACCTGAAGTGTTTAGTATTTACTAATTCTCCATCCTGAATTTTTATGATGAATTCAGGGTACATACCATCACTGTTTTCATTCCAATTCCAGATTATAGTTTCTGTTTTGGAAACGTTTATCATGAGTCCTATTTCTTGGAATATTTGATTGAGGATAGTGATTTTCTGTTTAAGATCATTTTTATCCCCACTATGAACACCTATGCCATCAGCATATCTCCCTCACCACTCATCATCAGTACACTGGCCTCAAGAGGGAAAGCAAACTCTTAGACTGATAGATTCATTTGGGATGTGATATGGAGTGTTTAAAAGGTAAGTGTCCATATCATCACATCTGTGTTTATAAATGCACAGGGCATAGTCTAGGAAGAGATTAAACAAACTGAAGTACTCATTTCCTCCTTGTTGTACTCCTGATAAGAGAACATGTAAGATTCTATAGATTGATACAGTCCCTCTATTAGATCAATGCATTTAGTGGATTCGGAGATTGGAAGGTGGTTTCCAATGGATGAGAAAAAGTCTCTAGTAATGTGGTTATATACTGCTATGAGGTTCATAAAGTAGGTATACAGTTTCCTATGTGAAAGGTAAGCAATTACCTGAAGTTGTTGGATGACATATATGCCATTGTTGCATCCATTTCCAAACTGGGTCATAAAGAGTTGATTTTTATAAAATGATTAGAGCCTAGTTAATACAACATTCATTAATACTTTCACTATAATGGATAGACTCCATTTTTTGGATGTGCATTTTGGATTCCAGACTTCTTTCATAAAATAGAAGAACTTACAATTGAATTCAGGGAGAAAGTCAGCTATTTTCAAAAGTTCAGCTTCAATTTCAAGTGATGCTTTATTATTTCTTAATTTTTTAACAGGTTTCTTAATTTCCTCATCAGGAGGTTTATTATTGTTTATGTTTAGGGACAGCCTTTGTAATGGTTGGATGAATATTGGTATATGTTCTATTTCTGTGGGCATCTTAAGATTAGTCTGGTCAGGGTTGAAAATGCGACTCAAAGTGTTTTTTGAAATGTGGACATTTTTTCTGTGGGGGTTTTGATTGTATGACATTATCATGGTTTTTCACTTTTCTCCACATCTTAACACACTGTGTTGTTTGGCTTCATTAATTTAATTTCAAATTTCCCAGGGATACTGGTCTCTCAAAGAATTAATTAGTTTTTTTTTTTTTCCTTTTCTGTTTGTTTCTTTCTTATGTCAGATTTTCAATTCAAGGTTATTGTCCCATGGGTGTATATTTTCCTTCTATGTCTTCTTGGGATGGTCTCATGTGCTTCAGCTAAAGACGACATGATAACATTATTAGATTCCTTTATGTTTTGATCTGGATAACTGACATCGATTTGGATGCTAATTTAATACTAAATTCTAAAATTACCTTTTCATTTTTAAGGTCTTGACTGTTATACTGTGGAGTTTTCCCTGGTTTATGTGGGTGGAAGGAAGGTATTTTGTTAGCTGGTGTTGTCAGTTATATAAAGAAATATAGTCTTAAGGTGTGCTATATTTATGGGATAAAGTGCTCAATATCAGAGATAGAGTGTGTGTAAATATAAAAGTGAACATAAAAGTCAACACTTAGAGGCGACAGTTAGAGGTGGCCTGACAGACTGTCCTCTTTTGTTGACTTTATATTCATTATTTATATATATCGCATTGGTTGTTAAATTCTCATGATTGATAATACAATATAATTCATCTTCCTACTTTATATATTAATGCATATTAATATCATATATTTTGCTTCAAGTATTGAGAAAATGTTTAACAACTTTTGATTATAGAAAAATGTTTAAATGTGACTATAAATAGTTCACAAATTAAAAAAAAGTTTGAGATTTCGATTTCAACTTTCAAATTCTTTAAGCCTTGCAGCAAATTACAAATTTAAAGCGACAAATATGTTTTAATGAAGAAATTAAAATAATTCTTTAAAATTAAAAATATATATAAAAATTTAGAAACAATAATAAAAAATATTAAAAATAGTTGTTAATTCTAAAAATATCACGTTTTTTATTGTTTGAAAAAAGAACTTATATTTTAATTAATGCTTTGAGCAAAATACAATCTGTTTAGAATTAATGTTGAACAGTTTGAAAGAAACTAAACATCTAGAAATTCAATATGAGCTTAATATTAAGTCACTAAGTATGTTAACTCCCAACAATATTTGCAAATGAATTAAAATACTTTTAGGAAAGGCTGTAGCTCATTTGAAAATATGACATTTTCTGTAAATATTAAAATTTCTTTGAGCACTATAAAAATGGAGTTACAGTGACCAAATTTCTAAAAAGTTATTAATTTCTGCCTGAATTATTGGAATGAAGAGTTATCATTATTCATAATATTTATGTTAAGACTATTATCCTCATCTTTGTTGTTATTATTACAATGTTTTGACCATTGTTCCTTCACACCCTCATCAGTTGCATATCAATTAAGCTAACCTACAGAAAATACTGAACTCTATGCTTTATTTAATCTTCTCAAACTACTGTCCATGTCTAAGGATATCTCGTCTAGTTCTTAGTTTTAGTACTGCTCAGTTATTGCTGGTCCAAGGATTGAACTCACAATTACTGTCAACAAATTTACAAATCAATGTTTTAATTGTCCTGCAGGGGAATAGCCTAGTGGATTAAAGTGTTGGTTTGTGAATTTAGTCACAGTATTTGTGAGTTCAGTCCCTGGGCCAGGCAGTGTGTACTTAGTGGAAAGTGGTGAGCAAATATTAATAAGAACTAGATCAAATATTCCTAGACATGAACAATGGAAAGAGAATAGTTCTTAATTCCCTTTTACCAGGATCAATATACAACTGATGAAGGCCAGAGAGCATAATGGTCGAAATGTTGTGATAACAACAGCAAAGAGAAGGACAATAGCCCAGTTGTAAATAAGGTAAATAAAAAGCTAACACTATTTACAGTGTTTGGACTGTTGTCCTCATTCATGAAGTTTTAACTATTGTACATTCCAGACTTCTCCAGGTGGTATTTTTGGAATTTCAAACTAAACCCTTTATTTAGTCCATGGGGGTAGATTGTTCTAATTCCATGTACCATGCCAGTGAATATTTCAGTTTTTAATTAATTCATCTTGATAAATCTCCAATGTAGCCCTCTGGACTAAATAAAGGGTTTGGTTTCAATATTCCAACAAATATCACCTGAAGAAGGCTAGAGCATATAATGGCCGAAATGTCATGAATGTGACAGTAAAGATGACAAGAGTCTGAACAATATAAATAACGTAAATGGTTACACTACCTCATCTCAGAAATATAGACAGACGTTAAAAAGCTGCTGATTATATTTTTAAAAATTTAAGTATAATAAAATTTTTATTTAAATAAAATATTCTATTTTTTTTACCATCTTTTAAACAAACGTAACAAAGAAAGCAAGAAATGCATATCACATAGTTATAATAACATGGGTTGAATTAGTAAGAGAAGGATTAATAAACTAACTACCATCAAAACAATTTAAAGATGGCAATTTTTTCTTTTCTTTTAAAACAAGACAAAAAAAAATTAAAAATATTTCATTCATAACAGTAAAAAGAGTTGTCGTCTGGTATGTTATTCAATGGCTCAATGCAATGTTAGAAGTCAGGATAGATTTGACAATATTCTGACATGTCACATAGGTAAAAGGGTTAGTTTAGAAAAAAAAACATTGGGTGCTACAACTACCAGTGTGCTACATATCTTCTGGGATTTTTTTTCTTTTTTAGTTGGGGGATTGCATTTTTTTAAACTTACTTTCATAAGTTGGGAAAATCCCAACTGTTCCAGTTGTTTCTACAATACAAAGAATTAACTTCTAGAAAAAATCTTTAAAAAGAAATTGTCTTGGAATGAAAAAGATTTAAAGTTTCAAAATGCTTTAAAAAAAAAAAAAAAAAAGAGAGAGAGAGAAATTGTCAACATTAATAGTTTCTGTGCAGTAGTTGAAAAAATAAAAACAAATTCTTATCTATGCCAAACACAGATCAAATTACCAAGACAAAGAAGGAAAGATTGGTTAAACTGAGAGAAAAACCAAGAAGCCTCCTTCTATTCCAATTTGTACAAAAGACTTTGCCAACACTTTTTGTTGTTCACACAATCATTCTGTCTACATGGTATAAAACATAACACATGGTCCAACTTTGTAAAATAAAGTAAACTATTCATATCTTTATGTGGTATGTGTACTTTGTTAAAACTGCAGACATTAAGGAACCATTTTGGCAACAGAGATCTATCTCAGCTGCCAAAGATTACTATCTTGCACTACTCATAAGAATAATATCTGAAATGCATAATAACTGATATCACAAGGAATTAATCCAAATTTTATTGAGATTTTTCCCATAACAATTTTCATTGCTATACTCTAATTTACTGGTATGGTCATCTGGCTTTTTAGCATGACATTTTAGCAGATGTACTCTCTGGTTATCTCCAGGGGTCTGCCATAGTTGGTAACCTAGGAATTTTGTACTCAACCCTTTATTCAATCTGAAGGGGGTGTTGTTCTCATTGTGTTATCCATATTAGAAAATATCTCATGCAGGTTAATTATTCCTAGGAAATTTGTCTTTGTGATACAAATTCTCTCCATCACTGAACAAGAATATATATGTTATAAAATAAAATAAGACATATCTCGGCTGATTTACAGGCAAATACTCAAGAGCGAGAACTGGATGTGAAAGGGACAAAGCCCCATCACAAAATGACCATTATCTTTCTTTACAAATGTTTCCAACACACGTGTTCCAGTCAAAAAATAAATATTTAAAGTGCTCTATTTTTCGTCCAATAAAAATGCTTCCCTCCTAATTATACTCACTTCGTTTCTCGAGCCTGTTAAGCCATTAAAAAACGCTATAAAAGGGGTCACACGGAAGTTCAACAGTCAGTCCACAGGTGCCCAGGATAGAGACCTGTCACGTCCAGCTGCTGACAGCAGGGGATCGTCAACCACCATCATCATGTGTGAACTACTATGAGAGATCGACCTAGATCCAAAAGCCGGCTTATGAACTTTACCACACCAAGGTAGCTGTCCCAAACCCACATGTTCCTGTTGAAATAAACCACGTATATCTATTTCTGCTGTTGTCGTATTTCTTTCTTGCAACCATACGCTTGTCTATAACATATATATGTGTGTGTGAGAGTGAGAGAGAGAGAGAGTTATATAGTCATTGAATTCACAACCACCAGATAAATAATCCAAAGTTGTTACTTTCTTCTGTTCATTATAATGATTTCTTAAATACATTTTTAAGCAATTTTTTAATTACAAATAATATTAAATTAAAATTAGATATATATATATAAAAATACAATATATTGTTTAATAAAAAAAATATACTTTTCTTGCTACTCCATTTTTCACCAATAAAGTTAACAATAAAAGCAAGAAGGTAACTACAAATTATTAAATCATACTTTAAGATGTGTTCAAATTTCTGTACAACAAACAGAAACACAGCCTTATCACTTGACATATACATCAAGAATATGATTGTATATTGAAATATAAATTATTTAAATTGAAATTATCATCCATTTTTTTCTGTATTTTCTATTGTTTCAAATACTTGCCAAATATTAGTAATATTTTGCGAATAAGGATGATGACTTAGACACTTCAAAACTGTAACTGTTTAAGTGGTTAAAACAATTTCATAATCTTTCAGGCTTCATTTAGTAAAAATAAATACTAAATATTCATAGCAGCAATATATTTTTTATTAAATGTCAAACATTATCATTGAATTTTTTTACGAGTATTTACTTCATTTTTATTAAAGGAAATACCATTAAACATTATTATTGAATTTTTGACTGGTATTTACTTTCATCTAATTTTTTAGTAAGTTGTAATAAAAACCAACTAAAAATTAAGATGAAAGTAAATACTACTCAAAATTCATTAATAATCTAAATATTCTACTCACAAGTCACTATTAATGCTGACAGAAAGTTGAAAAATATACAACAAATAAAAAAAGCATAATGAAAATATAAAATGTAAAAGTTAGTTTCTTATTTTATACCTAAATATTTAAAAATTTAAATAATTAAAAAATTCAGATATATTCAATGGAAAATGAAGCATTTCACAATTTTTAAATAAATGATCTTTTTTTAATACTGGAATACATCTTTGTTTACTGAGCTAATTTATTAGAAATGGCGAATTATATCTATGGATAAAAAAATGAAAGGTGAATTAAGTATGTTCTGTTAATAGTAAATATACGTTGTGATAAAAAAATAAATGAAATATACAAATTACGATGCCTCATTTAACTCAATGCAGAATTATTCCTTTTTAATGTCACAAGATGACATGTAAAACATAAATACAGGGAGGCAACTCCAAAATGTTAGTTTTGAGTTTAATTTCAATTTGGTGGAATACATATATTCACCAACTAACGATTTTATTATTTGTATCAAAGAATTTAAAAATGTAGCTCAATCGAACTTTGAATATAAAGCAAAATCATACATATTTTTATTTCAGTAAAGAGTTTTCTCCCTTATCTTTTACATTGCTGGGTATTGATTTTTGAAGCAGAAAGCAATTAAAAAAAATAAATAAAAATTCTTGTTAAGCAAAAACACCTAAATATAAAAATTCTTATTATGAAATGTGATTAATACTAATGTGCTGATTTAAGATTTAAACTGAAAAAAAAATTTAACGCATAAGTAGGGAAGGAGATTAAATTGAAAACTAAATATATTTGTTGTATAAAACGAATACTTTTATATCATGTTGCAAATTATCATCATACCTACATATGAGGTATATTTTCTGTTTTAGATAAAAGTTACATTAATATATAGTTCAATTAAATGAAATATTAGTCTATGAAATAAATTTAAATATTTTATTTTTAACTTCCTTGAGCCCTTGTTACATAGACATGAAAAGCAGTGACTTTTCCTTCAATAAATTCGTTAGACAATATAAAATGAAAAAGCAGAAATTATACACATTCTGATTGAATCCGTAACTAAAGAAAGAAAAAAAGTATGGCATATTTATGCAGCTATAAATAAGCATGGAAAAAAAAACATACCCCATCGAAACAGCTACGAGATGCTGTATCATTGTAACCAAAAGAAGGGCCCTCACACACAGCAGTTGGTAAGGCCAATACAGCTTTTAAGTAATCTTCAAATTTTTCCTGAACTTGGTAACCACTTGAATCTGATATTTGAGTAAATATATCTGAAAAAGAAAAATTAAAAATTATTAATAAAAATTGAGAATTTCAAAATTAAATTAACATGGGACAATAACCTACTTAATGAATTTGATGACATAGTAATTGCGAGTTCAATCCCTGACCTGGGCAGTGTGTACTTGGACTCAGTGGAAACATGATCAGCAATAATGGAACAGTATTAAAAACAAGAACTAGATGAGATATACTTAGACATGGAGAGTGGAACAAGAATGGTCTCCCCCCCTTTAGATTCAATAAGAATTCCCTGTGGGAGGTCTTCTTTTATGTGCCTTTTATATCCCTTCACAACATAGGCGATCATGGCCCTCCACCTCCTCCTGTCCCTTGTAGCTCTTAATAGTTTTGTCTTTTTGTTATTTCTACCAGACCTTGTTCCGTCATCCACATGCTCAAGCCCATTAAGTATGTCATGTGTTGCTTTCCCTTGAGCCTCTATCCATCTATCTATCCTGTGAGTATCAGATTTTCCAAGCCCTTCTTTTTCATTATGTGTCCCAGAAATTTCAGCTGCCTCTTCCTGATGTTAAGTATATATTTCCTCTTTGTTTGCATCTTCTCCAAAAACTCATTGTTGTTCACATGTTTAGTCCATGATATCCTTAGCATCCTTTTTTTTAGAACCACACTTCTGTTGCCTTGAGTTTCTTCTTCATCTTTGAGGAGATTGTCCAACATTCGCTGCTGTAAAGGACAGATATCATGTAGCAGTTCAGTACTCTTTTCTTTGTTTCCAATAAAACTTTCCTACAATGGCTGAAAAGTTGTGATAGCAAGAACAAAAATGAGGAAAATAGTCCACACATAAATAGTATAAATGATGATGATGATGCCTCATCCCAGAAATTCAAATAGAAATTAAACTGAATAATAAAATATGAGGAGATGAAGGCTCATCAATCTTTTTTTTTTAATTTACTAATAATTTACCCAGTACAAGGCCCAAGGGCCTCTCAAAGTAGAGGATTACTGAGTGAGATTGTTGTAAAAGGGAAGTAAAAGAGTGTTATGAAGATGGGGAGGATATATATCAATTAATATTGGACTTAAAAGGATCAAGATTGTAATTGTCAAAGAAGCATTCTCAAAAGTTTGTTCCACAAATGGGGATGGTGGGTCCCTAGCTGTAAAACTTCAAGTAGGTGGCACTAAGGAATGTATTTCATTCAAACATCTACCATAATAATAGGATTTTTTATAACTACTATTTTATATCTAAGTGAGCATTCACTCTTAAAATGAAAGAGTCGAGAGTTTCTGCTAGTGGGTTTTTTGTATAATGAAGTGGTGAATGTGTTATTACTAAATTCTGCGAGAATGCCTAAGAATGGAAGTTTATTTATTTGACTCAGTTCATAGGTAAAGATAAGGACATAGTTTTTTTTTCAAATGTGGTTTTGAGATTATCAATTTCTTTTTCATTTTTCACTAAAATAAAAATATCTATATAACAAACATATTTGGGGTTTAGTGACTTGTTTAAATATTATGTTTTCTACATGGGACATGTAGTAGTTGAAGAAGCATGGGCTGAGAGGATTTCCCATCACAGCACCATTAATTTGGGTGTAGATATTGCAATTATGGTCAAAGAAAGGGACTTTAGTAGCACAGACATGCAATAATTTATTCAGGATATTTGGTTTGATGGATGGCAGCGGAATGAAATTATTTTTGTACACAGAGTTAAGAATTATATTTATAGTTTGATTGACAGTGATGTTTGTTAATAAATTTTCAAAGTCAAATGATGCTAAAATACCTTAGTTTGGTTTGTATAGTTTTTAGAAGTTGAAAAAGGAAAAACCAACACTCAATAACATTAACTACAAACACAGCCACAATGTACTAACGATGTTTGGAAAATAAAACATTCTGATAACTTCAGACACATACATCAAAACCCACACATTCAGTTAAAAATAAAAAATAAAATTGTCCTTGATAATGGCTAAAAGAATAGCCAAAACCACTGAGACATACAGAACTTTTAAACAGTTTTTACATGCTTTGTGTCCAAAAAAGGAAACACAAGACAAATTAAATACATAACTTAATCACTGTATCTTGTCAGTCATTTTAACAAAACATGCATAAAAGAGGGATTGCTGCCCAAATATAAAATTATCACACACACATACACACACACATATATATATATTCAAACATATTTCATTGAATAATATAGGCATATCTATTTATTTTTATAATAATCTGTTCTAGTTCTCTAATCATTTTCTTGATGTTAAGATCAAATTCATCAAGGAAGGCACCATAATTTTTTTCCTATCCAAGTTCTTTTGATCTCCCACCAAAATTATCCTCACAGGTGAATTACAAAGACAAACTTTAATAATATACAGGGTGCAATAGATAAATTGTTATCTAAATTATGCAAAAAATGAAAATACCACTGACATTTTAACATATATGTTTACCAAAATTACAAAAAATATCTTGAAATACTAAAGGGTAAATTTATTCAATAAAATCACCATTAGCTTCAACCATGGCCTCCAGATGACTTCGGAGTCTACTGCAACTCTTCTTGATGGTCTCCTTGTTTAAGTTGGTGAATGCTCTTAGAATCCTTGCCTTCAGTGCATCTTTTGTGTGACATGGAGTTTTGTTCATCTCTCGCTCAAATGAACCCCACACATAATAATCAAAGGGTTGCAGTCTGGGGAGTTAGGTGGCCAGATGTAAGGGGTGATGTGGTCACAGGATCAGTCTGACAGCCATGTCTGGATTCTCTTGCTTGTGTTGCTAGACATAGGGTCTTCCAGCAGCCACCCTCTTGACCCAGGGTAGTACAATGGACCTGACTGACTTGGAGGGATTGTTTTCAATCATGGCTTGGATCTCACCAAGAAATTTGGGCATTATTTTCTTATCAGAACAATCAGAGTGATTTTTCTGTGTTGCTGTAGCTTCGTAATCACAATTAGACTCATCCAACTCTTTCCAAATCCTCTGCACTGTCCTTAGATTGACACCCAAACACTCTGAAATGTTCATACTGGAGCTTCCAGCATGAATGCCAAGCAGCACAGCTTGCCATTTCCAAATTTCTGGAGGAGTGAATTGCGTCAGAGTTCTCTTTTTCTTACAGGCAGTGCCTAAGTGACCCTACTATACTGTGTAGTTGACAAATTCAGAAACAATATTCGTGTGCGAAATTAAAAATATAAAATGGCAACAAGTTACCAATTTTACCCTCTGTGTGTATATCTGTGTGTGTATGTATATGTCTATATTTCTGAGATGAGGTATTATGTACATTATTCGGACTATTGTCCTCATCTTTGTCACCATATTTATCACGTTTCGGCCAGGGCACGTGGAACTAGAACAGTCTACCCCAGTGAGCGAAATAAAGGGTTCAGTCCGAAATTCCAACCACCTGAAGAAGGTCGGAGCGTACAACGGCCGAAACATTGTGATAAATATGGCAACAAAGATGAGGATTATAGTCTGAATAATGTAAACAATATATATATATATATATATATATATATATATATATATATATATATAAAAAATGTTTTTTAGGTATGCTATATTTATGGGTAAAAGTTCTCAATATCAGGGATAGGGTGTATAAACATAAGAGTGGACACTGAGGTTAGCATTGAATGAAGACAGTTTGTTTCATGCCTGAATGCATTCTTCAGGCCAGATTGCATTCAAGCATGTAACAGACTGTCACCACTCTTGTGTTGACCTGAGTGTCTATTTGATATATATATATATATATATATTAAATTGTGTGTATTTAGGCAGCATTTTTTCATTAATGCATGTTTCATTAAATAATAGACAAGTTTTATCTATTTTAAGCAAATTTCTTTCATATCGTCTGATAAGCTTAATTAACATTATCATTGAAAGATGAAAGAAAATCATCATATTGATACATTTTTAGGAATTTTAAACATGAAAACAATAAACAAAAACTAAAAATTCTTGAAGCTATATACATAAAACAGTTAAGACGTAACCTGAACAAAATAAACTAAGAGAACACCACAAATATACTTAAACGCCTATAATTGATAACAGAAGCCATTAGTTTATACCAATGGCTTCCCATACTTAACACTTCTCGTTTTGACTCTTGCATGATCATGTATAACGTCATGGGCTGCAGTGCAATTTTCACTTCCAGTGGCTCATTTGCACAAGTTTGTCATTGCTTGGAAATCTTCCATGAAAACAAAACAGATTTTCATTGTTGCTATGTCCATGTATTGTTTAATTTATTGTAATGTACTTGTCATCTCTGATGATGGCTTATGTAAGCCGAAAGCTTAGGTAGGATTAAAAAACATGTATCAATATTGTGATTTTCTTTCATCTTTCAATGATAATTTTATTAAGCTTATCAGATGATATGAAAGGAATTTGCTTAAAATAAATAGACAAAACTTGTCCGTATTATTTAATGAAGCATGCATTAATATATATATATATATATATATATATATATATATATATATATATATAATGAAATTGGCTACACCACATAGCCAGGCACATCTAAAAATCAAAAAAAGAAATTTAATTAAAAATTTTAAAATGTCAGTGTTTAAGCATTTCCTGTCTGGGCATAGCTATAACCAATGCGCTTGCATTTGTATATTTTCTTTTTGTTTTTAACATTTTTATAGTCATGTATGCTGGCTTAGGAAAGGAGTATTTATTTCAGGAACAAAGATAAAATAAATGTTAAATTCATAACCTCCTTTTATTTGAAATTCATAATACATAAATTAATTCAAAACTAAAATAATATATATAATAATTACATTTAAAAAAAGTTCAACAGCAACAACATTTACTCACTTTTGTTTATTAGATATTAAATTACATCACTCTTGTATCCCCCGTAATTTACTTTGACTTTTCAGTTAGCCTGATGTATATTTATGAGTATTCGTATATTTAAAAATTGTTAGAAACTAATGAGATTTTTACTTTTGTT